GCCATCAGTTACAGAAGAGGAAAGCTTCCCACGTGAGTTCTCTGCCTGGGTGTCTCCCTATCTGGCTCGACCAGGAGTGCCCTGATGGCAGGGGCCAGGTCACAGCCACCTCTGTGCTCTCTTCAGGGGTGAAATGAGACCCCAAGAAGAGGGGAGCCTGGGAGAGAGCGGGACATTCCACCTGGATAGTCCCAAAGTCCCAGGAAGTGAGCATTTCCTTGGTCTACAGAGAGCTTCTATGTCCCCGGGCTGGGGCGGGGGCCTGGAAATGCAGCATTCTGTGGATTTCTATATCCCTGTGCATTCTGAAGGGAGCAAGGGAACACACCCCAGTGACCCTTTTCCATGGGGAAGTGGGGACAACTGGTTCTGTAGGTTCATAGAAGCCCTGTCCCTAGCCTGGATCTCTGGAGTGTGTGTGTGTGTGTGTGTGTGTGTGTGTGTGTGTGTGTGTGTTTGAGGCAGCTGTTGTCTAAGGGCCTTTTCAGCCCAGCATTCTGGGACATTATGTGTAATTGTGGCTAAAGCAGGAGGCTGCTTTTGTTTTTTTTTCTGCTTTCTCAGGCCTCCTTCTGCCTTCCCTGCTTCTCTCTCTCTCCCTCTCCCCCCATTCCTGCCTTTGCAGAGCAGGATTTGTCCTGTGTCGCTGGCCTCCTTGCCCTGTGGCTAAACAGCTGCAGTAGGCGGCATTACTAGCTCAGGAAGGCCGGGAGCCAGGCCAGGTCAGCCACTTTCTACCCATTTTCCAGACTCAGAAACTGAGGCTCCCAAGGGGGAAGGACTTGCCCATGGTCACACTCAGGGGAGGGTATTTCACCTCCACTTTAGACAAAAAAAAAGCGGAGCTCGCTCAAGATCAAATGAATTGTGACTCCCCTCTGAAGGTGGGGTCCTGCCTCCCAGGGTAGGGATCTCCCCCGCCCCAGGCTGGTGCCCACCGCGCCCCTGCTCGCACCTACCCTGTAGGTAGTAGGCCAGGTAGCCTTCTTCCCGCAGCTTCTGGAGCAGGGTGCCCAGCACCGACTCGGGCTCCCACTCCTCAGCCTCGGCCTCGGCCTCAGCCTCGGCCTCG